GCTCTGGAACAGGGTATATGAAATCATGCTCTCTCTTCTCTGGAACAGGGTATCCATTTTCGCAATACAGGAACAGGTTATGGTTTTCAACAATCTTGCTCTGGAACAGGCTGGGTATGAATTTCAGCGATTTTACTCTGGAACAGGGTCAGGGCTCAGCGGCACATCCCTACCCTAAATGGGCAAGAGAACTCCCCCCCCCGGGGCATGCCATTGTCCTTAGTGTTGCCCTTCTTTCAAAAGCTAGGATGGCGAAAAGTTTCTACCAATATTCTAACCAGGACAGGGACTCCAAAGATGATGGCTTGCACACAAAGAACCATTTTGAATACTCTAGCGTCATCCTTTTGGCTTCTTTGCCCTCGATGCTTAACAATGCTTAAGGTGTCTAATATTGCTGACAGTCAATAATAAGTTACATGTATTTAGACGGCCCTAAAGTTGGTCAGGATATGAACAAAAGAGCATGAACAAGCCAAAGCCTCTTTTTTTGGAAAGATTATTTTGTCACTGGTTTCCTCTATAGGAAAAGATGTCAGTGTATTTTTTTAGAAATACCTGTTAATATTAAGCTTATCTACAATTTATTCATAATGATATGATTCTATTATAGCCTCCAGAGAAGAGTACTATTGTGGTTAAGAAAGGCGATTTATCATATGTTGACAGCTACTCTGCATTCTGGAGCAATGGACACTACTGTACGACAGAACTGTTTGGGATTCTTCTTAAGCATGGTATTACAGACGTCTATGTCTGTGGCTTAGCCCTGGATTATTGTGTGGAGTTCACTTCAAGGGATGCGACACAACATGGATTCAATACCTTCGTAGTGGAAGATGCTTGTTGTTTTATTTGTGAAAAGATGTGTGGTGATACCAAAATGGAGTTCAAGAAGGCTGGAATAAAATTGATGAAAAAAACAGATGTAAGTTTGTTGGCTCTCCCCCCACCCTCACCCCCACCCCTCTTTTGTTACTTCTCTTTCTCCCTCCCTTCCTATTTCCCTCCCTTTCTATTTCATCCCTCCCTTTCTTCCCTCCTACCATTCCTGCATTCCTTTTGCTCAACATTGACCAGGTTTGGTTAATAAATCTTTAATTCCCTTTGATGTTGAAGAAGCTTTTTTTAACAGTGTGCAACATTTTGTGATTAATGCATATTTAGTGTCAAAATTACTTTTTGTTTTAATTTGTATTTCAGCTTAAAAGCCACTTAAAACAGAGTTAATCTGAAATTCAAATACGTGTTATTCAAAAATGGTAAGTAAATTCATGTAATTTAAGGATTAAATACACTGTGTATAGTGACCCTAACCTATACACATCTAGTTTGCAAAATAGACTTTTACTGAATTTGCTTTTATCACAAAGCAGGCTCCAGAATCAAATTAAGTTTAGACTTGATGTGTTCATACATTTACTGTATTTTATGAAATAGAGGCTTTGCACCATCACGTGATGGCAGCCATGACAGGGGGTATAACAATAGAGTCTTTCTCCCCTGGGAAACTGAATTCTTTCTCATGTAAATCAGATTAGACCAGAATCAATTGTTCCTGTCATGGCTGCCATCATGTGATGGTGCAAACCCTCTATTCAACCTTGACTTGGAACTATTGTTTTGTGGTCACTGTGTGAATTCGAAAAAAAGTTTATTGCTTAGGATACATAGCTATAGAGTACATATAGCCTGAGCCATTATAATCCGATTAAATCCCCCCACCCCTTTCTTCCTATTACCCTTTTGATGTTATTAAATGTATATTCCATGAACCATTCTAATTATAGGCTTTCTTTAGATGGCAAATAAATGATGGTTTTTCATCAAAAATTTATTAATCATGTAGAGTAAGTTGTACACAAGCCGAGTAAGTTGGTTGCATTTGATCTTGACACTGTCTTAGAATTACTTAAATGAATAGTTTTGCTTTTAGAATAATTGGTTCACTAAGCTAGGGGCACCCCCTATATTGTGAAACAAAATCAAAGATGTATACTGTATAATCACTGGGGCAGAACAAGGAGAACTAATTAAAGCATATTAAAGGGCTACATACAAATAACAGCTGGTCAGTCGCCAGTAATGATGACCGGCCAAATTAGTTTTAGCGCAGCCATACCTCATTTCTGGTTCTTCAATGCTACTGGTCAAAATGACCGAAAAGGTAAAGATTTGACCAGACAAGTTCCAATTCAGGCTGGACAGATGACCAGCTGTTATTTCAAGCCCTGTATTACACTCTTAGTTAGCAATTGTTTCACTGATATACAGTCTGTATGACGCACTGCACTCTACAGTCCTTATCAGCTGGTGATTGCAACTAGAGTCAAAACCAAACTGGTGTCCAGAGTATCCTATAGAGTAACTCACAATATCATGGGGAAATACTGTAGCAAAGGCATGCAATATTCAATGGCTTTGCTGGTATCGCAACAAAAAGAAAAGAAAAAAAAGAAAAACCACTTGTTGATACTATAGAAATAACCAAACTGTGGAACAGGCTAAAGTGTTAATTTTTATGACAATTGCCTATTTTTGTATGATTTCCCCACCATTGTCATTGATAAATTCAAAAAAATTCCACATGCCTGTGATCAAATTGGAGCCAAATTGTTGGCATTACAGAAACTTCACCTGGGCTGCTTGGAATTTATTAATGAAAATGGGCTGGACAATCATACTAAAGTGGGCATGACTATCATACATGTAAGAAAACTTGGGCCAATAGACCAGTTTCAAATTCCAAATTACCGCTGTGTTCCTTGATTACAGACTCATTTGCACAGGGTTAGCCTCGAATCAGTGTTTAAATATTCACAAGTACCAACAGAAAAGTAAAGAATGCACAACTTCAACAATACAAACATTTTGAAACTCGATGGACCTTGACTGGAACACGTGAATATTCTGCACAAACTCGAGGCTAACCCTGTGCAAATGAGTCTGTAATCAAGAAACACAGCGGTAAATTTGGAATTCGAAAGGGGTCTATTCCACAGTTCCGTGATATTCTTAGTACTTACTAAAACATAAAATGACCATGCATAAAAGAAAAGGCAAGAAGAGACTATGTTCTTGTACTAAAAAGATTACTGGATTGCAAGGTTATAATTTATAATTAATTTATTATATTAAATTAGATGGAAAATGCTTACAAGAATGTTGTTAGACTGATAATGACGATGGAATTACTGAAAATCTTCTAATATTAGTCTTATCAACATTTTTTGTTATTTAAATTTGGTATCCCATAAATGTTTAGTACTACAGCTAAATATCAATCATAGTCTGATGTCTTTTCAAATACAAATACAATTAAATAATGTATTAAATAATATTTTGTTGAGTGTATTATAAACGAAAAACTGCACAATCTTCTCATACAATCCAAAATTTATAGATATTTGTGATGTTTTGAAAGTACCCAGATTGGACTCTCCTAATATAATAAAGGCTAGTCCAATTTTAAAAACTTTCAAATTGTACTCCAGATCATGACATTTCCTATACAAGCTTTGCTGGTTTGATTAAGAATCATCTAACATGGCTGCTAGAACATCTTCATGATTACGATGTAGAGTGCTCACACTAAATCTGTGAAACAAATACTAATTTTTAGCACTACATAGTGATAATTAAACAATAGGAAACAAAGGATTCTGTATGAAATAGTACTAATTAGTACTATTTAATGTTCACCGTTTTAGTAAGTGCACTCTACAAAGCCATTCATTAATAAATATACTACAGTGTATTTACAAATTAACTTTCATCATTAATTATTAGTATAAATAATTAATAATATCAGTTTTCAAATATTTAATTTTTGAAATGTTGTGAATTAAAAAAACGTGTTGTAGCATTCTGCCTTATTTTCAGCTTATCACTATAATGCTAATATATATTTTCATGAAATAAAAGCTTATTCTTGTAAATAAGTGACTTAATAGTAAGGTGCATACATTATCTAACAGTTTCTTTCCTCTGGTTCTCTGTATGTGAGATTCAAGGCTGCAAAGATATCTCTCTCATTGGTAGCTTCAATTGACTGTGGAGGCTTTAAAGGGATAGTTCAAGGGTTAATACATTTATTATGTCAACTTAACATGCAGGGAATGATTGTAGGCTCTCAGCCAATAAGCCTTTTCATAGTTTAAGAATCGATTCCACTGCGCATGCGATTTTATCCCAAATTTCTCACCTTCTTTTGTCTAAACCTTCTTTTGTTCTTAATTAAACAAAAGAAGGTGAGAAATTCAGGATAAAATTGCATGTGCAGTGGAATCGATTCTTAAACTATGAAAAGGCTTATCAGAAAAATTGTGAGTAAAAGGTAATAACAGACTGGGATAATAGATATTTTCTCCATTGGACTATAATTATTATATATAAACAAGTAAGTTTAGTTTCATGGTTTAATAAATAAAAATAATTCTACATGGTTGGGGTATTACTAAGAGCAACTGACGATAGAGATATGTGAATAATTGTCCAAGGTCTCTATTATGATTGCAAGATAACTGCTGTAACCTTTCAAAATGTCACAGGAAACTTGTAAGGCAAAGTAATTTTAGAGCAATCCTCAACTGCTAGAGTGCAAACAATATATCCGTAAAACACTAATTACTAAATTGTTCAAAATAGTGCTAGTTAAACAAAAGAAAACAATATAATAATTATATATTATATTAGCATAAAATAGTGTAACTAGTTAGTTTTACTAATATTTCACAGATGTATTGTTTGCACCCTAGTATTGCCACACCCTGTAAAACACTGGAGCCCTCCTCCAAATAAGATCACCGAATAAATTTAATACATTCAATCTACCACTGATCATGAAAACTAACCGTTTTGCTTCTATCCCAGGCTCCATGATTTGAGACTGCAATATTGAGTTCTTTCGTTGCATACAGTCTTAGAGATCTGTTAAATTGCTGGAAAGGATGGATTGGTGATCCAATAACTGTATTAATACTGTGTGACTAGTGCAGGGAAATTCACCATTACTATACCCACAGGGAGCCCACTTTGGATAAATGTAATAGACAATAATAAAATGCTAAGAAAGTATTGATAATACAAGTGAATGTGTCCCAAGGGCAGATCCAGCCAAAATTTTAGGGGAGGGGGGCTAATTGAGCAACACAATGGAAAACAAAAAAAAAGCATCTGATTCTTCAGTTTTGTTTTGTTTTGTTTTCTGAAGGGGGTTTCAGCCCCCCTTTGCCCCCCCCCCCCCCCTCCTCCCCTTCTGTCCTATGTTATACCTGAGGACATGAAANCATCTGATTCTTCAGTTTTGTTTTGTTTTGTTTTTTCAACGGGGTTTTCCCCCCCCCCCCCCCCTGGATCTGCCCTTTTTTCCTTCTGTCCTATGTTATACCTGAGGACATGAAAATGTTCTGTAGCTAATGTTAGTGCATACCTTAGATCCTGTCCAACCCAGGAGAGTCCAGGGGTACTGTGACATAGGTGCAACAATAAGGTCCACACGCCTGACCAGGTCAGGTGTAACCTCTTTCTTTTCATCACTAGTGTCCATTTTGAACATACAAAAACAATGATCATGCTGGTCCATTACACCTCCAACACTAAAATACAAAAGATAAGCCAATGACAATAGGTTGAGAAGAAAATAACAAAACTTAAAGCCATAGACATTCAGGAAAACAAAAGAAAAACACTGTAAAGAAATTCTATACCTACGTTTTCTTTTTGTCATCTGTCCTGTGAATGGGAGTTTTACCAACAGAGATATCTTTATGGACAATGTGACCCTTTTTTGAAAAAAAACGAAATGAAAATAAGATAAGAATGGAAGAGAATAGAAGAGAGATGAGAAGGGAAGTGATGGGAGAGAAGAAAAGGAAAGGATGAATTAAGCTAGAGAAAAAAGAAGGAATGTGATGCAGAACATATTAAATGAAAACAAATAAGAAAAATGTTCACAAATAGCAATTAAATTCGTTTACTATGAATTTCTCTTTCAGAGTTGCATTCTCTACTAATATATGGTTATGGCATATTTTTTCATTTCTAAATCAGATCACGTCACTCTTGAAAATAAGATTCTTTGTTTGAGTTGTATCCATATTCATGTGTCTTCTGATGCATAACCATTAAACAAAGAAATTATACTCTAGAGAATGACACTGGTTTGAAATGGGAAAACAGTGGATAATTTCCAATTTTATGCACTCACCAGGTGTTCTAGTCTATCGACCAGTTTCACTAACAAATGTGAGATTTTGTTATCATCTGGATGTGTGATTAGAAGGTCAACATCATGACCTGAAGTCTTTCCTCTGTAAGCAAACAAAATGGAATCAGATGAATGCTATGGGTGTCAACGATCTAGGCTTTCATTTCAGAAAAACATGCCTTGGTCATGCTTCCAAATGTCAAACATCCTTTTGGTCTTCATTCCTTTCTTCACATTTCAGCTTCCTTGTGATAATTTTCTTTCCCACAAATTATCAAAATGATGCCGAAACATGAAAAAAGGAATGCAGACTAAAAGGTTGATGCTTATCAGCAGAGTCTTAAGCATTTGGAAGCATAACTGAGGCATGCTTTTCTGGCGTGAAAACCCAGATTGGTGAAATCCACGATAGTAGAATCAGTCCTAGAATAGGAGAATGACACATGATTTTGATTTTCTAATCATTCTGCTCAAGCTAAATGGGTTTATTATAATTCAAGAAATTAATTTTACCTTCTGTATCCACCGACAAGTTGAATTGTACACCCTGGCTCCAAGTCATCCAGCTACAGAAGAAAAAAGAAACAAAACAAAAAAATTATGAAACATTTGCTAGTCCTGTAATATACATTTTTGAACTATCTCTTACAACAAGAAAGATTTTAGTTTTTAAAGATTGTAGTATTTCTTTTTTTCTGAGTTCCTTTCAGAGACCATGAATGATAAAACATTTCTATGAGGATTAATATTTCGACATAAATTTCAAGTATTAATAATGGATCCATTACTTGAGTCGTTACTAATTGTGTTATGGCATCTGCTTCTGATCTGGAAACACCATTGACCACACTCTCGTAAAATCGAATACCTACAAGTTAGAAGTATCTGGCTGTTATTGACAAAATGAAAGCAAATCCAACCTTATAGCAGAGTTTCATATGCAGAATCCAAATACGGCGTTCGATCAATTTGAATAACTATTGTTCTGGACTCTGACTAGCAAAAACGATTTTCACATTTATGAGAGGCTAGTCAGTCCAGAACTGTATAACAATATTATAGTTATTCAAATTGGGTGTCATATTTTGATTTGTTGTATAGCATCCATATTGTAGTGCAAATATTACTGCACTTTGATAACATGGACAATTTGAAATGCACTTGCAGTTAACATAACAAAGGCTACCAAGGCGATAAAAAAATCGAAACTGGTTCGTAGCATCTATATAGCTTTAGTTCTGCCAGACAAAACTCAACATTGCCTGGACATGGTCACCTGCAACAAGATTACAGAAGGCTCCCACAAAGCTCTTTTGCCAGCAACACTTTCAGGGGCAGATCCACTCACACAAACAAAAAGATGTGCTAATGACCAAAATCATTTGATATCTAGATAAACTTTCACTTGGTTTATCAAACATTTGTATCAAAATGCATAAACTCTGAGGGTTTTCAGCTTTGTATCATTGACACGGCCATAGTTTACCTGTACTTGTCATGAGTTTAGCCTAGACCTTTACCTTGGGCATAATGTTTTCCCATTTCAGACCATGTGTCATTCTCTAGAGTATCATTTCTTTGTTGAACAGTCATCCATGATAAGACACAACCCAAACAAAGAATCTTATTCTCAAGAGAATACCTGACACATGGTCACTGAAATGGAAACACTGCTATACGCCCAAGCTGAAAAGTTCTAATATATCCCACTTAGAGATATCCTACCTACAAGCTGTTGGTTAGTGACTTTCAGCGTCTTGTCTTTTAAGGCTTGTCTAACATCTTCGATTGATCTGTAACCTTGTTCAAACCATTTACGACCAGTGGCTGGACCACACCCATATACAGGAGAGAAATTCTAAAAAAAATTTGATTTAAAGACAAATTATTTGCAGAAAACAATACAGGAAATATATAGAATGAATTTGGTTCCACTAACCCAATTAAATGATATAATACAAAGTTGGAGAACTTTTAGAAAATTTAAAAACGAACCTCCATTGCATGAAAAAAGTCACTTTTTCGTATTTCTTCCACCTCATCACAAACGCCTTTCTCAAGTATTTCCTATGCAAAAAGCAATAACCTTTAAATAATTTTAAACGTCTATGAATTAACGGTTTTCTTCTTACACATATGAATGGCAGTTATGCACTAGTCAACTGAAATCCACGACCCCAGGAAAAAGGGATGGATTTACTGTATAATTAACGCGGCAAGACAGGGCTTACTGTCAAACCAGCTCATGCGTTCCTGCCAAGGTTCAAACATTTTGATGATGTTTTGAGCTTCAAAGCGAGATGGAAATCAAGCTTGTAATAATAAAATGAATCTTTGAACCTTGAGTAGGAAGGTATGAGCTGGTTTGACTGTAATGTGCATTTAACAGCGTGAATGCAAGGGGATACGGTTTCAACAGCAAATCTTTCTCCTGTGGTCGGGAGAAGTGTTAAATTTCGAGTTTATTTTTTCTTTTAGAACAAAAAATGCTATTAAGTTAAAGTGTTATAACATACCTGAATAACTTTTCGGCTGTGATTTCCTAAGTGACTAAGCTTTGCTACCTCGACCATCTTTTCCACCTTTCTAAACAGGTGAGAGAAAACAGTTCGCTTTTATGTTTTTGTAGTTGAACTAATTTATCAGCCATGTTGGATAGCACACTGTGCTGAAAGATGATTTCGTATGAGAAACGATACGGAAAATTAGCAGCCTTAACGTATCTTACCATATAGCGGTAACTACGCGTTGTGATTGGATGAATAAAAGCGGTTTTCGTATGAGGAGGGAACGTGATAGGAAAATTCGTAGCCGTAACATATCTTACGTATCCGTAACTACGCGTCGTCACGCGTGGTTGGATGAATTAGAGTGGTTTTTATTCGTACGAGTCGGTGCTGCAGCACCGTGACTGTGCTTTCTGATTGGATGAATTACTGGTTGACAATGGGAAGGCATTTTAATGTTATCGTGTACGCGTTGTAACGGACCGCAATGCCGTACGTTTTCCACTCATACATTAACCATTCTTATGGGAAGTTGTCTTAATGTTCCGTCATGTTGTAATAGGAAGAATAAAAACAATTTCACTTTACCGCCACGTTTGCTTGGTTCTCTTTTTAAGCTCCAAAAATGCTTAGGGCCGGTTATTTTATCCTCATGCTTTGCGCGCCGCGCTCACCGTTCAGCTGGAAAGTATTTTTTATTTCTTTTTTAAAATACAAATTACCATAACCGTTGTTTTGGATAGCTATGGCACCCCATGCGTGCTGTGTGCTCTCATGAAGCACGCGCCTTTAATCAAACAAAATGCGAGATTTATAACAATTATTGTATCTTATATCTATAAATATAAATGAAAATTGACATACTTTGGTAAAGATTTCAAACTACAAGCTGCTCTTCGGAATGCTAAGGCACGGATATCCCTCTGACTGCTGTCTTTATAAATTGCATGACGTTCAAGGACTTCTAAAGCATCCTGCATCAATGCATAACATTAATTAAGAGGATCACAGTTTTCAGAATTGGGATGCATTGTGTGCATTGCGAATGATCTGCCTTTGGCAAAGGTGAATTATTATATATGATAATAGAATACTACTTACTGTGAATATCTTATTTGGATGATTCAGAGGGGCAGGTCTCTGGCAAATATACTTCACATCCTGAACAAAACGTAAAATAGCTGACACCAGTTATTTTCATTTGAAATGTACACTATAAATGGTGTTGATACATGATGATGATGA